GGGCGTATAGGGAGAAGAATGGAGAACGAGAAGCAGGACCAGATCGCCTTCCGCGAGGCCGTGCTTGCGGACAAGAAGCGCGGCGTCTCGAAGAAGAGTCCGTACACCGTCGGATTCTTCGGTCAGGTGAAGGCTCTCACGATCAGGCAGTTCCGCATGAGGCTGCAAGACAAATTCACCCTTGTGACAGGCTTCTCGCTCTCATGGGTGAGTCAGTTTCTCTCCCCCAGGCCTCACAATGCCCTGAATGCCCCTCGGCAGATTCTGGCCATCATCATCGGATCAGCGTACTACAACCTGCCGCTCACAGCCGCTGGAGCGTTCACGAGAGGTTCCGTTCTCTTCGTGGCTCTGCTTACATGCTGTCTGGACACGTTCGGAGAGCTCCCGGCCCAGATGATGGGTCGCCCGATCTTGAAGAAACAGGTACGTCGTTTCTGAACTTGGGTATGCGCAGGCACTTTAATGGACCATGTCACAGACGAGCTACTGCTTGTATCGGCCCGCGGCAACCGTCCTCGCGAACACGCTGGCCGACATGCCGTTCTCTTTCGTCCGCGTCACCATCTACAATATTATCATCTATTTCATGACTGGGCTCGATCGCTCCGCAGGAGCCTTCTTCACGTTTGAGCTCATGGTGCGTCCTCAGTCCCCGTCGCGTCTCTGGTATCGCTATACGTGCTCCGAGCTCATATACATCCCAGGTTTACCTTGCCTACCTCACGATGCAAGGCTTCTTCCGCACGATGGGCAACCTGTTCTCGAGCTTCCACGCAGCCTTCAGGATCTCCGCATTCTTTGTGCCGAACATGATCCAGTACGTTGGATACATGATCCCTGTTACGCAGATGAAACGGTGGCTTTTCTGGATTGTGAGTCGCGCGCTCTTGCAGTGCATCCAGCGGACTGACATTGTCGACTTCTAGTACTACATCAATCCACTCACTTACGGTCAGTTCGGCACATGTTTTGTAGCCACCTACAGGCTCTAATCCTTGTATCGCCTCAGCCTTCTCTGGGATCATTGAGAACGAGTTCATGCGGATTAATGTGTGTACGCATCTTCTCCTAGTGCTCAACGGATGCTAACAAGATCGCAGCTCGCTTGCGTTGGCGCCTACGTCGTGCCCCGCAACGGAGGCGACGCCGTGAAATACCCGTGCGTAGCTCGTGTGCCGATCTCTCCGCTGATGTCATGCTCACCTGCGTAATCAGCGACATGCTTGGCCCAAATCAAATCTGCACACTGTTTGGATCAACGTCCGGTCAGACGGAGGTGTCCGGACGGGCGTACCTGAGCGCAGGCTACGGCCTAGATGTTTCAGACCTCTGGCGACGCAACTTCGTCGTCCTCGTCGGCTTCCTGATCACGTTTCAGATCACGCAGATGCTTCTGATCGAGTACTACCCTGTAAGCACCCCCGCGCGTTGCATCGGACAACGGCCGCTCACGTACGCGCGCAGAAATACACCGGCGGCGGCTCTGCGATCGTCTATGCGCGGCCGACGAAGAACTCGAAGAAGCTGAACGAGGCGCTCCAGCAGCGGAAGGCGCTGCGCCACAAAGCTGAGGACAGCAAGGGTGACAAGACGCCAGCCGAGCCTGAGCAAGGGTACAACAAGGAAGGGTACGGCCTGTCTCGTCTCTTTGTCGATCGCCGCTCATCAGTGTGCAGGCTCGAAGTGCACCGCAGAACGTTCACCTGGGAGGCCATCAACTACAACGTCCCGGTTGCCGGAGGTACCAGACGGCTGCTCCACGACGTCTATGGTTATGTCAAGCCTGGTACTTTGACCGCTCTTATGGGTGCATCGGGCGCCGGCAAGACGACGTGCCTCGACGTGCTTGCGCAGCGCAAGAACATTGGCGTTATTTCCGGTAACATGCTCGTCGACGGCCGTCCCATTGGCGCCGATTTCGCCCGAGGCACTGCTTACGGTACGTTTATTTACCTACCATGTATACAACTGGTGGCTGATCCAAGCGACACTGCAGCCGAACAGATGGACGTCCACGAAGGCACCGCGACCGTGCGCGAGGCGATGCAGTTCTCTGCGCACCTCCGCCAGCCGGCGCACGTCCCGAAGGAAGAGAAGGACGCGTACGTCGAGGAGATGATCGAGCTGCTCGAGCTGCAAGACCTCGCGGACGCGCTCGTCTTCTCGCTCGGCGTCGAGGCGCGGAAGCGGCTCACGATCGGCGTCGAGCTCGCGAGCAAACCGGAGCTGCTGCTGTTCCTGGACGAGCCGACGTCGGGGCTCGACGGCCAGAGTGCGTGGAACCTCGTGCGCTTCCTGAAGAAACTCGCGGCGTCGGGCCAGGCGATCCTGTGCACGATCCACCAGCCGTCGTCCCTCCTGTTCGAGAGCTTCGACCGGCTCCTCCTCCTCGAGAGCGGTGGTGAGACCGTCTACTTTGGCGACATCGGGCCGGACGCGTGTGTCCTGCGCGAGTACTTTGCGCGTCATGGTGCCGTTTGCCCGGCGAACGTCAACCCTGCCGAGGTGTGTTGCGGCCGCGTTCGTGTGTAGGGGCGTTATATACTGACGATGCTTGCAGTTCATGCTCGATGCTATCGGTGCGGGCCTTGCTCCGCGCATCGGTAACAAGGACTGGAAGGACGTCTGGCTGGACTCGCTCGAGTACGAGCAGACGCGCCAGGAGATCGAACAGCTGAAGCGTGAGGGGCTGGCATATCCGGTCCCGGAGAAGGGAGAGGAGGCAACATGTAAGTATTGCTCGCACCCGCTCTCAATGCAAGGGTGCTGACTGCAGGCCAGATGCCACCTCTTTCTGGACCCAGCTGTACGAGGTCACGATGCGGAACAACTGGGCCCTCTGGCGCTCGCCGGACTACGTCTTCAGCCGCCTCTTCGTCCATGTCTTCATCTCGCTCTTCATCTCGCTGTCTTTCCTGCAGCTCGGGCACAGCTCGCGCGACCTCCAGTACCGTGTCTTCGGAATGTGCGTATCTTTTTTTCAGCAGAGACGCAGCGAACTTATGCCTGTGGTTTGCTAGCTTCTGGTTGTCTATCCTGCCTATGATCGTCATGGCTCAGATTCAGCCCCTCTGGATCTTCAACAGGCGTATCTTCATTCGCGAGTCGTCCAGCAGGATCTATTCTCCCTACGTCTTCGCTATCGGCCAGCTGATCGGAGAGATTCCATACTCCGTCCTCTGTGCTTTCGCCTATTGGGTGCTCATGGTAGGCATTCATCCTCGGTGTTCTCTCGCCCTTCACTAACGGCTTCATGATTAGGTCTGGCCCATGGGCTTTGGACAGGGTGCGGCGGGCACAAACGGCAATGGCATCATCTTCCTTGTCGTCCTCTTCATGGAGTTCTTCGGTGTCGGCCTGGGCCAGTTCGTCGGTGCGATTTCGCCCAACATACAGACCGCGGCGCTGTTCAACCCCTTCCTCGGTTTGACGCTCTCGCAATTCTGCGGCGTGACGATCCCGTACCCGACCCTCGCCCGGTTCTGGCGCTCTTGGATGTACCAGCTCGACCCGTACACACGCATGCTCAGCGCGACGCTGGCTACCGAGTTGCAGTGAGTTGGCGTCTCTTGTCGGCGGGTATGGGCAGATGTCTGACGAATTTGTGCAGTGGTCTCATCATCCAGTGTCAGCCCGATGAGTTCTCGATCTTCAGTCCGCCCTCCGGCCAGACCTGCCAGCAGTGGGCGGGCGACTTTGTCAACGCGACTGGCGGCTACCTCGACAACCCCAACGACAGCGCGGCGTGCCGCTACTGTCAGTATGCTGTCGGCGACCAGTACTTTGAGCCGTTGCACATCCGCTACCAGGATCGCTGGCGGGACATCTGGATATTGTTCTGTTATTTCGGTACGTAGTAGCCTGTCTCGTCGTTTGGGCATAGGCTGATGGTGCCTGCTGCAGTGTTTAATATCTTTGCCACGATCGGTGAGTTTTTGTCTAATGTGTCCTCGAGAACAATGTGCTGACCCCGTCTCTGCAGTCGCGTCCCGCCTGCTGCGTTACGCGAGACGATGAGCCTCATGTTCCACTATTCTACATAGATCTGCTAGTATCACTGCATTGACGCTAGATGCTCCTGCACGCCATTCATGGATTAATTAGACACCGAGTATCACGAACTGGTGTTATTACGAGAGTTTGAACAGACCTTCACGAGCTTCCCTTTCATGCTGGTTGGGTCTGTAGAGGCCCGAAGAGTCCATCGCTTTTGCCATGCACGCACCACATACCACAATTACATTGTAGCGAGACCCAATTGGACAACAAGTGATGACAGCAGCGATAGTCAAAGTGCTCACGCCGCGTATTGGTTTGTAATCCTTGGTCGTGCGCTGAAGCAAATAGGGCCAGTCACAACCCGTCGTACTGTTAATGGTGGTGCGTCGTACCAGACTCAAAATGGAAGGGGGGTTGTGCATCGAAAGGGTTATCGACGTCAGATGACTTACTCGCGACGGACTGAATGTAATGCATAGCAGGCGAGAGTGCGCACCAGCTGGCAGCTATCCGGTGGACGACGGCATACTTCGTTGGCCTTAGGAGAATGCCCAGCGGAAAGCTCGAAGGTGCAGCTTTGAGAACGTGAGTGGGACAGTCGCGGTAAGATATGGCAGAGAGATTATTGATTAGGTGCACTATTAAACTTTGAAAAAGTCAGCATGGCTATGGCAGCTAGCCTGACAAAGGGACCTACAATATCACGCATTTGAGCCTGAGCATCGTTAAACTGCTTCTCCAGGTATTTATTCTGTTAGACACGTCGACTATGGTCAGTACTCTTGCTCTAAACTAGCATGGGGTTTGACAGACTTTCTTAGTGAGGTTGTTAATGTCGTCTGCGAGCTCTTTCTCTTCTGCCTTAAGGTCTTTGTCCATGACTGGCCGAGGGACCTGCATGAACCTGGTATATGCGTGAATGTGTGATGCCCTTGGTGAGTAAGAGCTACGCACATCTTCCCGACACCTTTATAGAGGTTTACATCCTCCCCGAGAACTTTTATCTCCTCGGTGGTCAGCTGCAATATCCGCCGCTCGCGCTCCTTGGCTGCAACCTGCTGACGGTTGACGTTCAGCGCGCGTTGCGACTGGATCGCAGTTTGTTGGATTTGAAGTAGGATCTATGTGGTGTTAGTCTCGTACTGAGGCTGCCTTTATCTTTGTGTATACCTTTCTGAGGGTGTCATCTGGGAGGGTAGTCATCGTGGTCGACCGTCAAGCACGCCACAAGCGCCAAGCGTACCATAACGCGTTGACGCCGCGATTTCGTCTGCGTTGAACGACCACCACCAGCACACATCCGCATTTTGCTACCCTGAGCTTTGCTCGACCTGTATCTCTTGCTCGACGGGATCGCTATATCTGCCTTGACATACTTTGTTGGGCTATATATCCTCAAAAGCAACTGCTCATTTGCTGAAGTGGTTCAAATCATACCTGCATATAGTGCAATAGCCTGACAAAATGGCGTCCTTTGAAGACTACGATGAATTCGGCAATTACATTGGCGCGGACATTGACTCGGACGATGAAGAGGAGATCTCTCAGCCGTACGCGCAGCAGCAGCGGGAACCGTCTGCCCAACCACTTGAGGGCTTCGACGATGTGCTTATGGAAGCTGCCGACGAGGGTGCGCTGATGCAGGTAGACGGTGTGTCCTAAATACTTTGACTTGTTGTTTGAGCCTTATAGGGAGCTCACAGAGCCCGTACATAATGCCGTAATTCTACACGAGGACAAGCAGTATTATCCTACTGCCCAACAAGTTTATGGCGAGGATGTCGAGACCCTGGTCCAGGAAGAAGATGCCCAACCGCTGTCAGAGCCCATTGTTGCTCCTATCAAGGTTCGCAGATGGACGGTGGAGGAGAAGAACATGCCAGAAACGCGCTTCGACAAAGGGTACGCACGAGCTCGGCTTGAGTTTACCATTCAGTATTGAAGACGTGTCCAGATTCCTTCTGCAGATGACTGGATTCACCGAGTTTGTGCGGAATGTCGCGGTAGTCGGCCATCTTCACCATGGCAAAACTGCGTTGATGGATATGCTAGTCTTCGAGACGCATAAGATGGACTGGGATTCTGACAATCAGGTATGTATGCTATATGCATTGTTTTGCGGTCGAACAAACCAATTTTCCCAGACCCGGTACACCGACACCCATGTTCTGTCAAGAGAACGAGGTATCTCCATCAAGTCCTCGCCCATGTCGTTGATTCTTCAGAACAGCTACGGGAAGTCACACCTCATTCACCTCATTGACACACCTGGACACGTGAACTTCGTTGATGAGGTTGCGCCCGCTATACGGCTGGTGGATGGTGTCGTCTTAGTGGTTGATGTCGTCGAGGGGGTACGCTTCAACTTTTCGTCCACTCTCTATATCTTGTTCATGGAAGTCTATTGCAGGTTATGTGCAACACAGAAGCTATCATCCGCCATTGCTTGCAAGAGGGTGTGAAGATGACCCTCGTCATTAACAAGATTGACCGCCTCATACTTGAACTACGTATCAAGGCTGCAGATGCGTTTTACAAGATCAAGCACACCCTCGAGGAAATTAATACCTTCATCAGGTTAGGATTTTGACTTGTCACGTGTAGCAATTCTCTGACAAAATCCTCTGTGTGGCAGTGGTATCAACCCCGATCCTGATCTCCGTCTCAGCCCAGAGAACGGCAATGTGGCGTTCGCCAGCACCGACATGCACTGGTGTTTCACCCTGCGGTCGTTTGCACAGATGTATGCGGACACCTATGGTAATGCAAAAAATCGAATTCAGGGACATCTGCTTACGGATCTCTCCTAGGCTCTCTGGACGTTGACGCGTTCGCAGACCGCCTCTGGGGGGATATTTACTTCGATGCCGAGACTCGTAAGTTCACCCGCAAGCAAGCGGATCCCGAGCAGAATCGAACCTTTGTCCACTTCATTCTCGAACCGCTCTACAAACTCTACAGCCAAGTGCTAAGTGAAGAGACCGACAATCTGAAGGGCACTCTCGAGGGCCTCGGCATTCACCTCAAGCCGGTCTTGTATAAGATGGATGTACGACCCTTATTGAAAGCCGTGCTTGACCAGTTCTTTGGGCCGGCAAAGGGCTTGGTGGACATGATCGTGGAACATATCCCGTCGCCCCTCGCAGCTACTGCTGACAAGGTGAGTTCAATACATGATCTCCATAGCGTGCACTAATAACAGTGGCGCGCAGGTTCGACGAACATATACTGGTCCCATGAACAGCGAGCTAGTGCAGGCCATGGAGAAATGTGACCCGGAAGGCCCATTGATGATCAGCGTTACCAAATTATACCATACGACCGATGCCCAGTCATTCAGGGCATTCGGCCGTGTCATCAGCGGTACCCTCAGGAAAGGTGTCGATGTCAAAGTCCTCGGTGAAGGCTACTCGCCTGAAGATGAGGAAGACATGGTCAAGGCCGTCGTTGAGGATATCTGGATCAGCGAGGCGCGGTACTTCGTCCCTGCGGAGGAAGTCGTCGCCGGTAACCTTGTTTTACTTGGTGGTGTCGACGCATCGATCTCGAAGACTGCAACGATTGCAGCGACGAACCTTGAGGACGATCTCTACATCTTCCGACCAATTAAGCACATGACGCAGTCTGTTCTCAAGATCGCTATAGAGCCCATTGCACCGTCGGAGCTGCCCAAAATGTTGTCTGGTCTCCGGAGCATTAACAAATCGTACCCCTTGGTTGCGACAAAGGTCGAGGAGAGCGGTGAGCATGTTCTGATCGGTACGGGTGAGCTGTACCTCGACTGCGTCATGCACGATCTACGGCGACTGTTCTCGGAGATTGAGATCAAAGTCTCGGACCCTGTTACTAAGTTCTGCGAGACTGTACTCGAGACTAGTGCCTTGAAATGCTATGCAGACACACCAAACAAGAAGTGAGCGGCCAAATTTTTCACACAATTGGTGTTTACCTGACATGTATTACCCAAGAAACCGGATTACCATGATCGCCGAGCCACTGGAACGCGGTATTGCAGAGGATGTCGAGAGCGGCCGCGTTACCATGCGTATGACTCCCAAAGAGCGGGGCAAGTTCTTCGAGGAGAAGTACCAATGGGATTTGCTTGCGTCACGGTCTATCTGGGCGTTTGGTCCCGACGACAGCGGCCCGAATGTCTTGCTTGATGACACTCTGCCGTCGCAGGTGGACAAGAAATTGCTCGGTACCGTTAAGCAGCATATTACGCAAGGCTTCCAGTGGGGTGCGCGTGAAGGCCCTCTTTGCGACGAGCGTAAGCATGCTCTATCCGAACCTCTTCCGTGGCCGTAGCTGATGCATTCTCAGCTATGCGGAATGTTAAATTCCGAATCCTTGACGCAAGCCTGGCACAAGAGCCAATTTTCCGAGGTGGTGGACAGATTGTACCCACGGCACGTCGTGTTTGCTACTCATCGTTCCTGATGGTACGTGGGAAAGGTTCACATATCCTTGCACACGTCCTGAGCTGCCCGTCCATAGGCAACGCCGCGTCTAATGGAACCGGTCTACTTTGTTGAAGTACAAGCGCCCGCAGACTGCATATCGGCGGTTTACACCGTGTTGGCACGCCGGCGTGGTCACGTCACACAAGATATCCCGAAAGCCGGCTCTCCATTGTACACTGTCAAGGCTCTGATCCCTGTCATTGACGCAAACGGCTTCGAGACTGACCTCCGGACGGCGACGCAAGGTCAGGCGTTCTGCTTGCAGATGTTCGACCACTGGTCGATTGTGCCCGGTAAGATTTCGTCGGTTTAAATCTGTGCGAGAGATCTGACGGAGATTGACGTACTTGTGCAGGTGATCCCACCGACACGAGCATTAAGCTTCGGCCGCTTGAGCCTGCATCTGGTCAGGCGTTGGCGAGGGACCTCGTGCTCAAGACGAGAAGGCGAAAAGGTCTAGGCGACCAAATTGCCGTGTCAAAATACTTGGACGACGAATTCGTGGTAAGCACAGGCCGTTGCTCGCCATTCACGTTTTGATGCTAACGGCCAGTGCAGCTCGCGCTGTCTGCGTCTGGACATGCGGATCTTTTAGGCTGAAAAGTAGTGTCTGAGGTTGTCGTGCTGCAGTGTCTTCTTACTGTATATGAAACATATTTCCAGAGTCAAACATTGCTGAGAGCTGTGAGAGGGCTTCGGGATTTAGAGCGCGTGGGGGCAGCGGCCCGTGGGAATTGTGGAATGACGTGGAAAGTGTTGTCTACGTGGCAGTCACGCCCGCGCACATTTAGAGTCCAGGTCGAGCGCCCCAGCCTTCACAGACACTCCTCTTTCTCTTTCTCTTCTCATTCCCATTCTCTCTCCTGTCCACCCCCCTACCGTCAACGGTCCTTCGTAGACATCATGCGAAGCGTAGCGCTCTCTGCCACCTTGCTTGTCGCCGCTGCGTGCAGCGCGTCAGCGGACGAGTCTAAGCCCGTCTTCAAGGCAAGTTCTGCGACGGCCGCGTTACAAGTTGTTTTTGAACTCTTTACTTAACGAGCCCGACCCCCTTTACAGCCCACCGACATCAAGGCACCATTCCTCGAGCAGTTCACCGACGACTGGGCTGAACGCTGGACGCCTTCCGAGGCGACTAAGAAGACCCCAGTCGGCGGCGAGACGTTCAGCTACGTCGGCGAGTGGTCCGCCGAAGAGCCCGCAGATGTTCTCATCGAGGGTGACAAGGGCCTCGTCGCCAAGACCAAGGCCGCACACCACGCCATCTCCGCGCCGTTCGAGAAGACGATCGACTTTGCCGACAAACCCCTTGTCGTGCAGTACGAGGTCAAGTACCAGAAGGGCGGTAACTGCGGTGGTGGCTACATCAAGCTCCTCGAGGATGGCTTCCAGACCGCAGGCAAGGAGTTCTCGGACAAGACACCATGGACCGTCATGTTCGGTCCGGATTTGACTTGCCCCGGCACGAAGGTATGTGCACAGCGCTTTTACTGGTCGGATATGTTTTACTGACGTCTTTGTGCAGACTCACTTCATCTTCCGCCACAAGAACCCAATCACTGGTGAATTCGAGGAGAAGCACCTCAAGCTCCCGCCCAAGCCTACGTTCGACAAGAACACTAACCTCTTCACCCTCATTCTCCAGTGAGCAGATATGAAATGAATAGGGGGCTGGATAGATCTGATGGTATTTTAGGCCCAACAACACGTATGACGTGCGCTTCAATGGCGAGAGCCAGAATACTGGCGACCTGCTCGAGGACTTCGAGCCACCAGTCAACCCTCTCAAGGAGATTGACGACCCCGAGGACAAGAAGCCTGAGGACTGGGTCGATACTAAGCGTATCGCTGACCCCGAAGCTAAGAAGGTTGGTGGATAATCATACGTGCGCTATTCGGATATTTACTCAGGATTCATAGCCCGATGACTGGGATGAGGATGCGCCCTACGAGATTCCCGATGAGGATGCCGTGAAGCCTGAGGGCTGGCTCGATGACGAGCCCGAGCTCGTCGCCGACCCTGGTAAGCTTGGCAGCTCTCAGTTCACCTAACGGATACTCATCTCTTAATTGTCAGACGCCGAGAAGCCCGAGGAGTGGGATGACGAGGAGGACGGTGACTGGATTGCGCCCATTGTTCCCAACCCTAAGTGCGATGAGGCTCCCGGATGTGGCGAGTGGAAGCGACCGTTCAAGGCCAACCCCGGCTACAGGGGCAAGTGGTTTGCTCCTATGATTGACAACCCCGCCTACATCGGCGAGTGGGCTCCTCGCAAGATCCCCAACCCCAACTACTTCGAGGATCTTACCCCCGTCAAGAGCCTTCAGCCCATTGGTGGTGTTGGTATCGAGCTCTGGACAATGACCGAAGACATCCTCTTCGACAACCTCTACATTGGCAACTCCGTTGAAGACGCTGCGGCGCTCGCTAAGGAGACCTGGGAAGTCAAGCACGAGCTCGAAGAAGCCGCTAAGCAGAAGGCTAAGGTATCTGACGACGAGGATGACGAACATTCTTCCGTCTCCTTCAAGGATGATCCTGTTGCGTTCATTCGCGCGAACGTCTTCAGCTTCATTGAAATGTTCAAGGAGGACCCCGTCTTTGCCCTCAAGGCTCAGCCTGAGACCGCTGCGGGACTTACCCTTGTCCTTACCACTTTCATTGGCATGCTCGGCGTCCTTCTGGGCCTCATTGGCGGCCAGCAGCAGCCCATCACCAAGGTATGCCCTTTGATACTTTGACCAACGTTCTCAGTACTGATCACATCTCTGCAGTCTGCCAAGAAGACCGATGCTCCTTCACCAGACAACAAGGCTGCTAAGGCGAAGACTGAGGCCGAGCCCGCGGCAGCAGCCGGTGGTGAGAAGACGGACACCCCGGTGAAGAAGAGGAAGTAGATCGCAGATTTATCAAAATGATACCACTCTTCGGTTGCGACGAACGTCTCTTATTGGCTCAGTACTTTTTTCTTCGTCGTTGTTTTGCTGTTCTCTTGTGCTTTGCTTACGATTGGTAAAACTATTGACGGGTTCTAGGGAAAGCTAATTTTTGGAGAATCGCACGCGTGTGAGAACACTTTGAAGATATAAATTTTGGGTATGACGTGTGATATATCAGAAGTACAGGCTTGCGGCGAATACAACTGTTCGCCTGGTCATTTCTTGCAGCACAGCAGGGATTAAAAAACTTATACGCACTGTCTCGTTTGATCTTGAGTTGCGCTTCCTCCATCTTCTTGAATAGCTCCGCGTCTCCGATGACACGAGCTGCGTCCCGAACTTCACGGCAGGTCTCGTCCAGCCTCGTAATGCACCGCACGATGGTGCCCTCCGCAACGTCCGTCAGGTCTGTGATTTGCTCGAATGGCTGTGGATGAGCACAAGTCAGCTCAGGACTGCGATAGCAATGCGCGTGTCAGCTCACCATGCCCTTCGCCCACTCATACACTACCTCGACGAGTCCAATCTTGAGCTGGCGGAACTCCTCGCCCGGGACTTTGTGCGCCTCCTGCACACGTTCTACCCGCTCCGCGATCGCGACGATGGCGTCGAGGCCCTCCTTGAGCTTCGGCGGGATGACGGGCTCGACATCGGTCTTCTCCTGGAAGATGAAGCACGAGAGGAGCGCAGCGACCTCCTCGGGGTCGTACGCCGCCAGCGTGTTCTCGAGGATGAGTTCCGTGAGGACGAGCTCATTCGCAGAGTTGATCTGTGAAAGTCGAGTAAGTGAAGAGAGAAAGGAGGAGGGAACAGGAAAACGCACCTCGCATGCCACGCGGCCCTTAAGGAGCACGGTCGAGTTTTGGTCGATGAATTTAAGATCCTTCAGGACGTCGACACGTTGCGCATAGTCTGGGATGAGTTCCAGGTTCTGGTCCGAGATGGCCAGCTTAAGCCATGCTATGTTTGCCCGCAGGACTTCCTCGCCATGCAGTATTTGATACTACCCCATGTTCGTCAGAACTGCGCCCGAACCGCAGGCGATGGAGCGCGGACGTACGTGGTGCTCAAAGTCCGGACACTCTCTGCACGTGTATCCAGGCAGCCGCTTCACGAGCTCATCCCTCGCGCGCACCGTTTCCTGAAACTCGAAGGCCTTAAGGCGGGCCTTCCAGTCAACTTCAGGCACCCCGTTACCGCTCGCGATCCATTCGTGGATCACGCTAAGAAGGACGTCCCTCGCCTCGTTCATCTTCGTGATGCGACGGACGGTTGCGACCTGCTCGAAGTCGATTTTGACGACTCGGTCAGTCACGAGGGCGATGCTGTTGAGAGACACGGTGTTATACTCGTAGGTCGCCTTGTCAACAAGCATCGACTCTGCTTTTGGTGGCCAGGTCGGTGGTATCGCCTGTGCGTCCACGTCTGAATTTGGTCTCGGTAAATGCGGCAAGCGAAGTCGACTCCGGAAGGCGCACCATTCTTCCCTTCCTTGGTGTCCGGAGACACAACCGCAAGCACTTCGTATGTCTTTGCCTTCTCTATAACACCTGACGAAGTCGTAGGTGCGGGTGCTGGCCTGAGAACCACAGCAATATTGCACCTAAAGTGCTGCAGGAGAGGATCAGTCACAAGTCCTCTACATGCTCATAAACAAGCATACCCCGTCGACGAGAACAACAACGCGACCCGGCTGCAAAAGCTGTTTTGAGCCCTTGGATCTATGACTGTCATCCATGCTAAGCAACCGGAAATTATATTCTACGATATCGGCGGTGTCATCGTAGAGCTTCTCAATGTCTGGTCGGCAGATGTCGCATTCGAGCTTCGGCAGCATAGATAGCTGCTTTTCGCTCTGGCACGGAAAGGAATAAGTCCGATGTATACCCTGCAAGATAGTAGCGTACCTCGATGACTTTCTTCTGCTGGTCGGGGAGCAGTCGTTGTGAAGCGTTCTCGGAGAAACTTCGCTTGATCATTTCTTCGACCCGAAGTGCCTCGACTCGAAGCAAGTTCAGGATCATGTTGTAGGTGAGGCGGAACTGTGACTGCAGCTTCAATGGGGTGCCGAGGATCATGGTTTGCAGTGTTGTTTGCTTTATGGACGAGCATCAAATCTCGGCATACAGATCATCAGAAGCATGCACCTTACCTCTGGTAGCTCGTCGTTAGCCACGAGCACCACTGTGCCTGTGGCGTCCAAACCACGTCTGCCAGCGCGACCAGCCATCTGAGTGTACTCTCCAGGAAGGACCTCCCGGAAGCTCTTGCCATCGTGTTTCCTAGTATGTGAGAACACGACTGATTTGGCCGGCATGTTTACACCCTGGTTATGACAACGTCAGCCTCCATATCTAACTGATATAAGAAAGCACTGACCATAGCAAATGTTTCTGTAGCGAACAGCACTTTCACTAGACCTCGTGCGAACAACATCTCCACCGCTTCTTTAACGATGGGCAGGAGACCTCCGTGATGTACGCCGATGCCACGAGACAGAAGGTCACGCATCCTTCGAATTTGCGGCAGCCGTCTATCCGCATCTACAGAGCAATTATCGTGCTGTCGCTACGAAGTTACCAGACGTTTACTCACCCTTCAGCCGAGAAAGCGCCTTCTCGATCATAACGTGCACCTCACTCTTCTCCACAGATGTCGACAGATCCAGGTTCGTCAACGTACCCGCGTTCTCCTCGCATCGCTTCTTTGAGAATGTGAACACCACCACTGGTAGCAACGACTTCTTCTTGAGGTTCCCGATGAGGTGAACATAGAGATTCTTGTCCGGCTGGTGGAATGTGCGTCCAGAGCCAGTGGGACCTCTCGCGGCAGGTGTTGCGCCACGGGCAGGCGTGCCGCCTCGCTGGCCGCCCCTCCCTGTGGGTGCACCTCGCCCGCCACGCTGTGGTGCTGCCGCACGCGCGCCGAGGCGCTGAACAGGCGGCAAACCAGCCGCTTCCCGCTCCTTGTCTTGTTTGCGACGGAGGGCTTCGCCTGCAGCTTTATAGCCCTCGCCCACGAAGTGACGCTCTGCATCAACAATTTTGTGAAAGTCTCGTCCGGCGTACAGAAAGTGCTCGAGCGGGACCGGACGCTTGGCAGTGGAAATGACATAGATGTCTTTCTTCTTGGTGCGTCTGTACCTATAGTCAGTACATTCCCACAGAATGGGTGAGACTTCGAACACACCCGACCCAGTCGGCGAATTCCTTAGTGTTTGGTACCGTCGCCGAAAGTAGAATAATGTTGACGTGGTCTGGCAACATGATAATGACCTCTTCCCATACGACACCTCGCTGCAGGCGTAGGCTCAGCAACTGGTTTCTGATGAAACCAGAAACGTGACTGTCTTACTTCTGCGTCGTTTACATAGTGCACCTCGTCGAAGATGACGAATTCAACATCCCGAATGAGATCTGCGCCCTTGTAGAGCATACTTCGCAGAATTTCGGTCGTCATGATCAAGCAGTTTGCTTCTGGGTTGATCTGCACATCTCCAGTCAGGATGCCAACGTTGGCTGCGTCGAACGTTTGCTTGAAATCACGGTATTTTTGATTAGACAAGGCTTTGATGGGCGAGGTGTAGATGGCGCTTTATCGCGAGTAAGCCAGAGTACGACTGCGTAGGCTCATTTCCGCTTACCGGGTCATGTGCTTGGCTGCCAGCGCGATGGCGTATTCTGCCACCACAGTCTTACCCGCAGACGTATGCGCGGCTACAAAGACTGAGTCACCCATCTCGAGATGATAAACAGCTTCCTTCTGGAAGGTATCAAGCTCGAAAGGATACTAGATCGCACAGGATCAGCGTGTTAAAGTTTTTATAAGTGCGAGGTGTACCTTGTGAGCCATGTCGGGTACAAGTTCGTGGAAGTTTTTCATAGGCTTGTTGATGTCGACGACGTGCGCCCAATCACGTTTCTCGACCTTGCGGCGCAATGGCCGGGCGGTCGCAATAACCGGCTTCAAGTGAGCTCTCTGAAAGCAAAGGGTCAAAGGATGCATCTAGTCGATATTTAACAGAACGTACCGAGGCAGGCAACAGGTCATCGATCTCTGTGAAACCGATCTGTTCTTGGATAGCGGCTTGTGCTTCATCCTCTGGATGGTAGACATCGCCATTCTGCACAAAGAACGTCAGCTACATCGAAGCAAACCCACAGAAATGCCACCTGAAGATCGATTTTTGACCGTGTGTTGATATCAGCAAGCTCCTCGTCTTCGGTATCGTCTGTATCACCGGGCAGTCGTAAGCCTCTGCTGAAACCAGGAGGTATCCTCTTGAGCCCTTTGGTGTTCTCGTCCAAATCTTTGATAGATATCGCATCCTTAGTTACCTCTTCTAGGCCACCAGGCCAGAAGGGCACGAAACCAGTTTTTCCTCTGACAAAATTTGTGCTTGGAGCCGGTGCTCGATCTAGCGATGTGGAGGTCAAGCCAGAGGCTACAGGAGGATTGCGAACCTATGAATCGTCGAGTATAGTTTGTTCCCATACTGTACTAATTTATACGACAAACCTCTGCATACCCTGTAACCTTCCCGTGGAGACCTGACCGGACGAAGGAAAGGCTAGTGGGTGGAGGCGATGGTTCGCAGCTGAGCAGAGAGGGGATGTCCAGCTTCTCTTCCCAGTGTCTACAGGCGCAAGTCTCAGCGAAAAGAACGCTAGGCTTAAATAAACGCGTACACCTGATACGACGGGAGCCAGTGCTCCGGAAATTTATCCTGAGGAAGGAGTAGCTTCTCCTCGATTTCGCGGTGTACTTGTTCTCGCGAAGGCAGGCCTGCAAGACCAAGCTCTTTCAAAAGATCCTTTGCATGTTGTTTATTTGGGTGAAGGAGCTTGTCGAGGACTTCCTCGTGTGCGTCGATGTCCATGGTCAAATCTCAGGTGACCATAGACGCGTGTGGCAAGGAGAGCTGAAGGAGGATGCCGCGATCTCAGTGCCACAAAGCTGATGAGGATATCCGCATTTGGTACCCCGCTTTGAGCATAATTTCCCCGCTTTTTCGGACGCGTCGGCTTTAACGCAGACGCTCCTTCTGCTCCCTCTCCCCGCCGGTCTGCATAAAAGCCGGCGTGGTAATACTTGCAACTACACACTCTCTTGACCACACAGCCATGTCTACATCTTTGCTTAGGGCTGCCCGCTCACAGCTCTTCCTCCCTGCTACTCGGGCGTTCGGATCCCTGCCAGCTCTACCACTGTCTCCACCTTCCCCGGCTGACGAAGACTCGCAGTTCAAAGCGCGGGTTCAACAGACGCAAGCATTCTTTGATCAGCCGCGGTTTGCCAATCTCAAGAGACCATACACTGCCGAAGTCGTCACGTCCAAGCAAGGTTCCTTGCCTGTGCTGCCACTGTCCTCTGCGTTACTGGCAGACAAGCTATGGCGGCTGTTCGAGGAGCGTTCGAAGGAAGGGAGGCCGGTGCATACCATGGGTGCCGTTGATCCCGTACAAATGACACAAA